CAGCAGAACAGAAGAGCTTCTTCCTGCTGAAGGATTCATTATAGAAGATAAATGGTTATCAAGAGAACTGAAAGCAAACTATCTACTCTATTGGTTGCCAAGCATCAAATACCATGGATGGTCTGACTTTCGGGAAGGTAGAAATCTTTCCACAAAGGAGTTTCCAGTAGCTTCATGTGATTATTACAATGCTAAATATTGACCCACAGAAAATAAGCATTCAATAAAATTTTACTCTTTTAAAGTAATCTAAGCACTTTATTGCTTCTTTGTTGATTAAATCTCTTATATTCATGCATTTTATTTGCTTGGTTTCTGTAGCCTACTATTTATACTCCTTCCAATGGGCCCAGCTTCTTTAAATTCACATTTTACACAGTATTATACTGTAGAGATTCCCAAACTCACATAAAAAACTGTGTTCTATAAATTGATTCCCGGGAAAAAATTCAGAAGCAAAGCCAGTTCTTCATCATTTCAAGATATAAGAATAACTCAATTCATCTAAAATGGTAATTTTTAAATGAGGTACTTAAGATACCTAAGGGCAGGCAGTGTAATAAGATGGTTAAGAATACGGCTTTGGGTTAGGGCTGTTAGACAGATCTGAACTCCAGGCTTAACTTTTCTGGTTACTGGCTGTGTGATTCTAGGCAAGTTACTGACCTTCAAAAAACCTCAGTTTCTTGATCTGTAAAATAAAGAAACTTGCATATGAATATAATAATACCTACCCTGCAAGATCATTGCGCTGACAACATTTTTTTAAAAATACAGGTAAACTGAGCACAGTGGAGGTAGTACAGTGTGAAAGTTCAATAAATTTTCCTATTATGTATTAGAGATGCCTTAAAAGGGAAATTGATACTAATTGAGTGAGATACAGGAACCTCATTCTGTCTTTCAAAGCAGCTTTGCCATTTTCTAGTTTCCATTTTGAGTTTTCAGGTAAGATTTTACTTAAAAAAGATTTTCACTATATATATAGTGTGTGTGTGTGAATATATATGTGATATATATTATATATGGAATATATATGTGATATATATTATATATGGAATATATATGTGATATATAATATATATGAAATAGATTTGTGATATATATATATCACAACCACAACTTTAAAAATAAAAATAACCAACAGTCTTTGAATATTCATTATATTTTAGACACTTTTCTAAGTGCTTCCTGTGCATTAATTTACTTTTCACAGCAAATCCTGTGGTAGGTACAATTATGTACACTTTGTAGAAATGAAATGAGGCACACAGAAGCTGTTAAATTTGATGTAGTTTACCCAGCTAATAAGATGAAGGGCCAGGATTTGAACCCAGGAATACTAGTGCCTGAGCCCATACATTTAGCCTCTCTACTGACTTGTGGGATATTTTTTTTAAAACACTTTAGATTTCAAATGCCACTTTTTCCTTAATATTTTGAAGGAAACAATTACATCATTCACTTCCACATTATCTAAAACAGGATATGGACTGAAAATATAGCTATACATGAACAAACAATGGTGGCTAAAAATAATTCCAGGGCCTACATACATTAAAATACTATGAATGAGTTCAGTGAAAAGTCATAAACTGTTAAGTCACACAGACATAGTTCAAATTCAAGGTCTGTCCACAGTAGCTGCATATTCTATATTAGGACTTTTAAGGTGGCAATTGACAAAAACTGAACTTTATACTGACATAAGGATTACAGGATTGATTGAAAAGATACTGGATGCTTCAGGAAACCTGAGGGTCAAGACAAGGGACCTCAAGAATGAGAGCAGAGGACTCAGTACCAACAGAACTTTCTTTTTCTCTCCTCCTGACATTATTTCCTTGCATTCTCTCACCTTCTCCTGCAGCATCAACAAGACTACCCTCAACTCTGGGATTACATACATAGCATTGGTGGTCAAAAATAAAGAAGTTTTCACTGCCAGCTCCAGCACAGAATCCAAGCTAGTGACTCCAATTGCCCCAGCTGGACCATCTCCTGTTCCCACACAGATGAGATCTGTCATCAGAGGAATGATGATAATGAGAATGTCACCAAGTAACAAAACCATAGTTGCCACAGAAACTCAAGCCGTTATCTGAAAAGTGAGGTAATTCCATTCCCCACTGGCTTATAATAATGGTAAGTTAAGTAATGTATGTAAAACAACTGGCACACGACAGATGCTAAACAACTGTGAGGCTCTTCAAATTCTACAGCCCTTCCTCCAAGTTTTGGGAAGCTGCTGACAAAGAACAGGAAGACGGGATAAAACGGTGTATGTATGTGTTCATGCACACACATGTGCCTGTGTGTGTTTTGTAGGGGAAATGAGCTTGCCTCTCTTGCTCTGTGCCTCTCTTGCTCTGTGCCTCTCTTGACTCATGTCCTAAATATTATGTAATCCATGGTGAAAGTAGAAATAGAAAAAGTTGTCTCTTCTTTCTGGAGCTTTACGGTATGCCTCCTAAAAAGTAACATTTTGTAATTGCTCTATTATAGTTTCCATCGTTCTAATTACAGTTATTAATTTACATGCCTTTCTCCTCTGATGAAATGCAAACTCTTCAAATGCAGAAAGCATGTTGTATTCATCTCTGCACTTTTAGAATTCAGAATTTTCATAAGGTATGTGTCTAATAAAATTATTGAATGAATTAGTTGAGAGGGTGTGGAGTTTATGGCTGTGGTTATGTTTTTATTGCATTGTTTATAAGGTATACATAATCATAATCAAAGTAATTACATGTATCCTTCATTAATAAGTTACTAATAAAGACATAATATCTAAATACTTTGCATGTACCACCTCATTTAATTCTTCCAATATTTTCTGCATTTGGAGTATTTCTTTACTTTTCCCTTCTCTCCTGCTTCTCTCCTTACTCTTCCCTTCTCTCCTTACTCTTCCCTTCTCTCCCTTTTCTCTTATTTTAGATAGAAAAAATAAGAGTTAAAGACATGAGGTAAATGAAAGTTAGAGGTCAAGTAATATTTCCCAGTTACTTACCCAAATAGTGTCAGAATCATCAGTATTTTACTGTTCACAATGTAACTTTTTCTGAATGTTATATAGTCACTTATAGAAATGTTTACAGGAAGCAGTATATAATTTTGGCAACTTCATTTTTTAACATCATCTGCAGGTATTGATCTGACAGCGTATGTCAGGATCAGGTGGGTTTACTCTGCCCTGACTTGGGGTTGGTAGATATCCAAGTACTACAAATTGCTTGTTGTGCTATTGCTACCCCTCACATTTATTATTCTGTATTTCATAGAGAAATACATATTTTTATGGAAGCATTTTTCTCCCACTCTGTTAGCTTCTTCCTAGGAAATGCTCCTAAACTTCTGTCACGTACCCTGTCTTGCAGCATTTAGCTCAGCAGCCTTACAACCCGGCGCAGCTAGCTAATGAGGCTGAGGAAGAAGGTAAAGCCTGCTTCTGAAGCAAAATCTCTGCTGATCACTGTGAAATCAGTGCTAAAAGAGACCCGCTTTCACTTAGAGGCTATAATGTTCTTCTCCTCCCCCAAATAACATTTTCTTCTGATAGCCAATTTTTACAAACAAAACTCAAATGAGAGATACAGATAAACCTGGATTCTACACTTTTCCATTTGTTATGGGAAGTATTCTTAATGGTAAGGTCTGAGTCTGTGATCCAAGGTGCTTCTTCTGAGTAGAAAGTTACCCAGGAAGGCAGATCTTTTCTAAGCAAGTTATATGAAATGTGCAGAATTAGAATGAATGTGAGGGAATATTTGCCTTGAGTCAGAGATCACTAATAAGCTACTGATGGCTCTGAGCCAAAGAATGAATGTGTGTGCGTGTGGTCTTTTATTTTTCTTAACTAATGTATTTTGCAGTATTAGACTCCATGACAAAGTTCCTTCTCTGTATCCTTTTTTTTTGAGACAGTCTCGCTCTGTCGCCCAGGCTGGAGTGCAGTGGCACGATCTTGGCTCACTGCAAGCTCCGCCTCCTGGGTTCATGCCATTCTCCTGCCTCAGCCTCCCGAGTAGCTGGGACTACAGGCACCCACCACCACGCCTGGCTAATTTTTTTGTATTTTTTAGTAGAGACAGGGTTTCACCGTGTAAACCAGGATGGTCTCGATCTTCTGACCTTGTGATCCGCCTGACTCGGCCTCCCAAAGTGCTGGAATTACCAGTGTGAGCCACTGTGTCCGGCCTCTGTACCCTATTTTTCTAAGATGACAATTCTTCTATCCTTGCCCTCCTCAGCTCTGGCAAGATTATGGTGAATTGTGGTATTCTACAGTGGGTCTCACAGTAGTTTACCAGTGGCTATTTTACATTTACATGCATCCACATTATATAGCGCTGAAATGGAAAAACTTTCACATCATACTACCATTACTGGATGTGACACACTCTCACATCTATGTTTTCGTCAATCCTTTTTAAATTGTAGTTAAGGCAGTTCATAATTGAAATCGTTTGGCTCTGTCCCCACCCAAATCTCACCTTGAACTGTAATAATCCCACATGTCAAGAGCAGGGCCAGGTGGAGATAATTGAATCATGGGGGCAGTTTCCTCCATGCTGTTCTCATGGTAGTGAATAAGTCTCACAAATCTGATGGTTATATACATGGGAGTTCCCTGCACAAGCTCTCCTGTCTGCTGCCATATAAGATGTGACTTTGCTCCTCATTCTCCTTCTACCATGATTGTGAGGCCTCCCCAGCCATGTGGAATTGTGAGTCAATTAAACCTCTTTCCTTTATAAATTACCCAGTCTTGGGTATGTCTTTATTAGCAGTCTGAGAACAGACTAATACAATTGGTCCATTAAATTGATTTCAAGATTCATTAAAAGGTCATGATTACCACTTTAAAATACTAAGACCCTGGAACATGAGGGGACATCTTGGATGGAACAGTCAGCTGAGTGCAGCCCTATGCATGAACTGGCCTTCATGGTATCCAGCAAAAGGGTCCAGCTGAGCCCATTGAACCCACAGGATAATAAGAAACAATGCATTATTTTTATTTAAAAAAAAAACCCCAGAAACAACAAAAAATTGATTTTGGTAACAGTGAGGAAGGTCAAGGGGTGAGGAGCTGGGTTTTCTTTATTTGTATCAGTTGTATTAGGTTTTCTCTCACAGTTTTAAGGATGCCTCTTGTGGTTGTCCAAGGGAGAAATTGTGAAGCCAGTGCTATGAATCCCTTCTGAAATGCACACATGGAATGACTAAGGGTAGAAAGACAATGAGCAACTTGATGATACTCTCAACCAGAATAAGAAAAACATGGACTGATTAGTAACATAAAATGTTATGTTTAAGAGCCCAGGACTTGAGTTTACATGGTTCTGAGTATAAATCTACTACTTAGTTTATAATAATTATTTAAAATCTCCAGTTCTTACCTTTGTCTTCTGGATAATAGAGATGGAAGTAGTGTAGTATCTTCTCATTAGATTTTTAGATAATTAAATGCATCAACATATGAGAACTGAAATAACCCGCTATATAATTTAGGATATAAATAATAGTCTGCAATACATTTCCTGAAACACAACCTTTGCATTCATACATTCGCAGCTTATCAAAGGATCCAGTGTTTCTAATCCACTGCAGCCTTCCCCATATATGAAGGGCTTATTCTTGTCTAAAATGTATGTTTTCTCTTTCCTTGTCTCTGAAGTCAGTGCTCAGATATTCCCCCTGGAGGCTGGGACATTTTAAAATTGCTTCTGCCTCTCAAACTTGGTTGCTACAGAACAATACCCTATACTATGTATACGTCATAGCTAGTGTCAAAGCCCAAGGCTGATTGACACCATTACACTGACACATTTCAAAAGGATCCTAGGCTTGCTGCTGTGGGCAGGTCTAAAATGTGTCATTATAAATGAATTCCCTGTTCTTGACCTTGCAACTGTTGACATACAGGAGTTTTCTCCAAGTTGTAGAGAATCTTTCAGGCAGGAGAAAGAACATTCTTTACCTCTCTACCCCCAGTGATGTGTCAAGCAGAAAATAGTGCTGCCTTGGGACCCAGTAGATAGTGGATACAGCATAATAGTGAGTGAAAGGAGAATAGAGGAAATAGTAGCCCTACAGCACCATTAAGGAATGCTACTGCAGTCTTAGCATCCTCCTCTTTTACATACCAAGACTGAAGAGACAGTAAAGTGCTATTCGGTTAATTCAACATATTTTACTCTTGGTTCCATGTAAGAGACTGGCTTCGGTTCTCCTGGAAGGGGGTTAAGAGATTCCTAATTCATCTGGAGGGGTAACATGCAGGTTGACTACACTATGTATTCAGCTGGTTTCAGGATGATCGATGAAAATGTAATTGTGGACTCATTCCTCATTTCTTGTGTGCCACATCTAGACTTTCTAAAAAGATCCTAACAACAATTTTGTAAACATATTTCCTGTGGTCCCAGAGAGCTACAGAAGAACAATATGGCAGAGTGGAAACATTATGAGCCTTGAGGTAGGTTGTGGGTTTTTAGTAATGATTCTGTTATTTATTATTTTTGTTATCTTAAGCAAACTATTGACTTTGGTGAACAAATTTCCTTGCTGATAGTTGATATGGTTTAGATACATGTTTCCTCCAAATCTCATCTTGAAATGTGGTTCCCAATGTTAGAGGTTGGGCCTGAAGGAAGGTGTTTGGATGATGGGGGCAGATTCCTCATGAATGACTTTGGTTCCTCCTGGTGGTAATGAGTGAGTTCTCACTTGAATTTACATGAAATGTGGTTGTTAAAAACAGTCTAGGACCTCCCCTACCACTCTGTCTTGCTCCCTCTCTCTCACGATGTGATACACCTGCCCCCGTTTGCCTTCCACCATGACTGGAAGCTTCCTGAAGCCTCACCAGAAGCTGAGCAACTGCTGCTGCTATGCATGTACGGCCTGCAGAACCGTGATCCATAATAAACCTCTTTTCTTTATAAATTACCCAGCCTCACATATTCCTTTATAGAAATGCAAAAGCGGATCTATTACATCTTCTTTTTGTATGTCTTTTCTCACAAAAGATAGAGAAAGAGAATCACAGCAAAGGATGGAAACTGAAAAGACAAACCAAATAAAGAAGAAAAAAAATTGGCCACTGTTTCAATACCTGTGATTGGCCACATGTATCTGAGGCTCTATTTGTCCTTTTAAGAGCAGAGTTTCCCAGCAGAGGCACTACTGACATTTCAGACCAGATAATCCTTTGTTGTCATAAACTGTCATGTATATTATAGGATGTTTAGCAGCATCCTTGGCCTCTACCCACTAGATGTCAGTAGCAAACCCCATGACCCTCCATCGCCTGCCAAAGCATAGCAATTTAAAAAAAAGATATGTCTGCAGAGAATGCCAAATGTTTCCCTAAGTCACCAGTTTGAGAAATCTCCATATAATGAGATACCTTATTTCCTACTAAAGAAAGGAAAATTCCAGATTCCCACTTTTCTGGCCTTTCTTGCAATTGAGGCTCAGGGACATTATCCGTTCTCCTCCAATTGCATACATCCATTTGAGATTTTGAGTTAGATTTTGAGTTATACGTTAGTAAAGCAAAAAATTGAGAAGGAATGAGTCTGTTCTGTAAAGAGTATCATTTATAGTAAGGCTAAACAAGAGATAAGCTACACCACAATTTCAAAAGCAGTGTTATGGACCAGTGCTGATGATATCTGCAGAGTATACTGTGGTGACTATGACCAAACGAGTACAGTGGTGTCTAGAATAGACCAGTCCTTCAGTGTGATTTGGGGTATTATTATGGGCTACCTAATTTCTAACACTTATAGCCTTCTCAGAGATTCTAAGAGCTACTCAATCTTTCAATAAATTTTCTGCTCAAATTAGGTAAAGTGATTACTGTTGCATGTACTTAAAAACCCTGCCTGATACAGTAGCTAATGCATAAAATCAGATCTTCCAGGAGGCTTTAGCAAACGACTTGGATAGATATTTTTAATTTTTTTTCTAAGTCAATTTTCTTGTCTTTGTCTTTAGAAAGGCTGGCCAGCCCCTTTTTGATATCTACTCATTATAAGATAAACTAGATAGATAGGTAGATAGATAGATAGATAGATAGATAGATAGATAGATAGATAGATAGATAATGATATATTAGAGGAACAGGTGCCAAATCTGATAAATAAAAATTGCTTCTAGAGAGAAAAGCTAGCTTGATAGAAAAAGAAAGTGTACCTTTGTGATTTTCTGTGTAAATTTTATAAGGTTCCTGTATAATATGCACTGTCATTTCTGAACAATGGTAACTGGACCAGTACCAAGCTCATAAAAGGGTCTCAGGGAAAGCTTCTTAACTTGACTACTTGCGGCACAACATATAAACATTTCCTAAACATATTTTTCCATTTTCTAAACAGAATGTTGATTCAGCTGGTGATTTCAGAATAGGAGCTACTCTTAGAAAATCACATAGTAGAACTTTTCATTCACATACCTACATATTGGCTTTTTTTGAGACAGAGTCTCGCTCTGTTGCCCAGGCTGGAATGCAGTGGTACAAGCTCAGCTCACCACAACCTCCACCTCCTGGGTTCAAGCGATTCTCCTGCTTCAGCCTCCTGAGTAACTGGGATTACAGGTGCGCGCCACCATGCCCAGCTAATTTTGGATTTTTGGTAGAGACAGGGTTTCACTATGTTTGCCAGGCTAGTCTTGAACTCCTGACCTTGTGATCCACCTGCCTCGGCCTCTCAAAGTATTGGGATTACAGGCATGAGCCACCACACCCAGCCCAAATCCACTTCTTAACACAAGAGGCCTTCTGCAGTGCAGAGCTCACGGAAAGAAGAATTTAAAAGATGCTGAAATGTTAGGGAAAAATTAAGAAAAGGACTTATTTATCTCTCTGAAGTTGTGCTTTCAAGTCAAGATCAAACATTCATTCAGGGGTAGGAAAGCATCCAGTGCTACCAGCCTTGGGCACCCTATCCTTTTCATGAAAATACACTTAATTATCACACTTGCCTCATACACTTCCTCTGCTCTCCCATCTGGGGACTTCTGATCTTTGCATTTTACCCTTCAGACTCAGCCTTAGGTATACTTGGATTGTAAGCTTTCTTTTGGCTTTGAATCTCTGAGCTTCCTGGAAATTATCCTGCACTCACCTGCAGACCTTTTCCCCATCTGAATGCTTCAGAATACCCACACCCTCCTGACCCAGTTCTATCTTGCTACACTCCAACACAAGTCTACTGAAATGAAATCTCAGCCTTCTCCAAAAACCAAAGATGGTACCAAACACCACATCTATCAGTGAGAAGGCCTGCCACTGGAAGAACGAAATCCTCTAACTAAAACCAGTTTAAGCAACACTAGCAATTACTATCTCACCTAATCAGAAGTCTAGAGGTAAGAACTGCTGGTGTTTGTGCAGCCATTAAGCATTTTTATCAAAGATCCAGACTTCTCTCATCCTTTCTCTCAGCTATCCTCAGATTGCTGGCAATGAATCCCAGTCTGGCTGCAAGATGGCTGCCACACAAGGCATAAAGAAAGGGCCTGGGCAAAATGGGTTTCTTCTTACACGGCTCTCTGACAAGGAAGGGAAACCTTTTCCAGATACTCCTATCAGACTCTCCATATATCTAATTTCCCCTCACTCTCAGAACGATCACTAGTGAATATCCTGGGGTTGTGTACCGTATCTCCCGAACAGTTTGGAATTCTGTTGTCCAGAAAAGAAGAGATGGTTTTGGATGTGCAACCAGAAATGCTCACCAATCTGTACTGAGCAGGAATAAAGAAAAACATGGCAGTGTATGTGCTATCCTTGTTCTGTCTACCTTTTTCTCAAAAAATAACCAAGCCTCCAAAGTCAGAAGCTTGGAAACAATCTAAATTTTATTCAAAACAGTGTATTTATTGTTATTAATACTACCTATTTAATACTAGTATGCAGCCTAAAATTGGAACCTCCTGTTTGCAGAAGGACCCATTTGGTAGCTGTCCCATGAGAAATCATCTTAGACACTACCATCAACAACTCTGTTCCTGTTTCCCTTCATCATATTTGTGCTGCAATAAGGCGGGAGTGGTGGCAGCAGCAGCAGAGCTAGGACATCCACATGATGGAGATGAGTCACATCAGTGCTTTCTTCTGAAGGATCCCAGAGCACAGCACAGCACTTTATGGGGTAAATCATGCATGTGGAGAAAAATGAGCCAAAGGCAGATGTAAACCGTTTTTTTCTAT